ATCATAATGAGATTTCCTGAGATCATTTCAGAACAGATATCTTTGACAGTTTAGAAATTGTACAGATCCAATAATATTTTAGTTTTAAATGATAAAAAGAGTCTTTTTACTTAGAAAAAGGGATGCCAGTATTTCATCTTTTAGCTACATAATAAAAAAAAAATACTGCATTTATCAAGATGAAAAAAATCAGAAGGAATGGAAGCATGCTTAGTTACACTGACTTAGTTACATTTTCCATTCACATTGAATGTAATATCAGTCAAAATAGGCTTTAAGCAGCAACAACAGATAATATAATGGGTAAGAAGGGAAAGAGGGCCAGGTGCCATGGCTCACAGCTGTAATCCCAGCACCTCTGGAGGCCAAGGCAGGCAGAATCCTTGAGCCTAGGAATTGGAGGTCAGCTTGGGCAACATGACGAAACTTTGTCTCCACAAAAAACAGCCAGGCTTGGAAGCACATGTCTGTATTCCCAGCTATTCGGGGAGCTTAGGTGGGAAGATGGACTTAAGCCTGTGAAGCGGAGGTGTGGAGGTTGCAATGAGCTGAGATCACGCCACTGTACTCCAGCCTAGGCAACAGAATCAGATCCCATCTCAAAAACAAACAAAAAAAAGGGAAGAGATTCTAAGAGGCAGAATGGTTCTATGTGTATAGAGTAACTGAGGGTTCTGAGATGCTGAAACCTGATTTGTCTAGGAATACATAATAGCCATAAACTGGCACAAATATATGTGGCAATTGGCAATCTAGAATCAGACAGTTCAGATCTCAGCTCTGCTCATTGGTGTTAACTTGAGTAATGGAAACCCTTGGAAAGTTTTAGCTGTTCTGTCTGTAAAAACGCTAGTAGAGGTCACCAGGTTCTTTTCCCAAATGTTTAAGATTAGGTAAGTCTCAGAACTTAGGATTTCCCGGCTTGCAGAAAGGGAATACAGTCTATGTGCCTTATTTGGGGTGCCCCTCCCCTCCTTAGCAGGGTCTGGAACAGCTCATTGCAAAATATATTAATATTTTTGCCATAAAATATAAACAAAGATGATCAATATCCTCCTATCAGTGCAGGTCAGGTGAGATTTTTGCCACCAAATGAGTTATGAAAAAGCTTTAAAATGTTAGCACTTTTTAGATTGGGATTGTCATATGGGTTTGTGGACCTGACCTGCCTTTCTTAAGAATTGTTGGGGGCCGGGCGCGGTGGCTCAAGCCTGTAATCCCAGCACTTTGGGAGGCCGAGGTGGGTGGATCACGAGGTCAAGAGATCAAGACCATCCTGGTCAACATGGTGAAACCCCATCTCTACTAAAAATACAAAAAATTAGCTGGGCATGGTGGCACGTGCCTGTAATCCCAGCTACTCAGGAGGCTGAGGCAGGAGAATTGCCTGAACCCAGGAGGCGGAAGTTGCGGTGAGCCGAGATCGTGCCATTGCACTCCAGCCTGGGTAACAAGATCGAAACTCCGCCCCCCCCCAAAAAAAAAGAATTGTTGGGATGGCAGGGCACGGTGGCTCACACCTATAATGCTAGCACCTTAGGAGGCTGACGGAGGTGAATCACTTGAGATCAGGAGATCAAAACCAGCCTGGTCAAAAGGTGAAATCTTGTCTCTACTAAAATTACAAAAAATTGGCTGGAGCTTGGTGGCAGGTGCCTGTAATTCCAGCTACTCAGGAGGTTGAGGCAGGAGAATTGCTTGAAGCTGGGAGGCAAAGGTTGCAGTGAGCCAAGATCGTGCTATTGAATTCCAGCCTGTGTGATGGAGTGAATGAGACTCCATCTAAAAAAAAAAAAAAGAATTGTTGGGAGGATTAAATGAGACAAAGTATTAAGTATCTGGCACATGGTGTGAGTTGAATAAAATATATTTATGATTTAATATTAATGAATACAAATTATAGCAATATGTTGTAAGAAAACCATGATGTAAATATTTAATCAAATAAAATATTCGCTGGTGTCCACCAGTTCTAAGAGCTGACCTACAGTACATTGGCTACCTAAATGTCTACCACGTTGCAGGTGCAGTGCTCTGGGCTTGCCAAGCATAGTCTCCTTCTGTCAATTCCACAGTACTACACGGTGGTTTCATCTCCTCTGCCTGCCGCTTTTTTTTGAGACAGGGTCTTACTCTGTGGTGCAGGCTGGAATGTAGTGGTGTGATCACAACTCACTGCAATCTCTACCTCCTGGGCTCAGGTTATCCTCCCACCTCAGCCTTCTGTGTAGCTGGGACCACAGGTGCACCACCACACCCAGATAATTTTTGTATTTTTAGTAGAAACAGGGTTTCGCCATGTTGGCCAGGCTAGTCTCAAACTCCCAAGCTCAGGCAATCCATCTGCCTTGGCCTCCCACTGTGCTGGGATCACAGGTGTGAGTGATCCTGCCAGTATCATTCCAACTTTAATGAAGTACTTTAGGCCCCAGGAGGGTGACTTCTCCAAAGTCGAAAAGCCAGTGGGCACCAGGGTAAAGGCTGAACCCAGGATTCTGACTTTAGAGGCAAAATTGAGGCATTTGGTTTACTTCTGGGATTAAAAAATAATTCATAGATAAAAAATAAAGATTTGAGGCTGAGAGTCTGTGAGAGGGAAGGCCGTGTTCTAGGAGTTGCCCTGAACCAGCTTCCAGCTGCCAGGTCAGCTATGGGCCCGGAAGTCAGGCTGGTGGCCGCCCTGCCCAGGAGCCACAGTTGGCATGGTTGTGACGCGGGTCCAGGGCTGAGCAGGCTGGGCCCTCTGCTCTCACCTTCAGAGGGGCAGGCTCATTCCCACTGAGTGGTCACCTTCCAGTTGTCTTTATTTTCCTCCTCCCTTCATAAGACACTTAAGGCACCAAGAATTTCTCAACACCGAGTCTTTCAGTCCCGACCTGCTTCTGTCTAGGTTTGCACGGTCCTCTATTGACTCTGCCAGAGGGTACTGAGGGCTTCAGAACATTCTCCTTTTAAAATTCAGTCTGACACCATCTCCTTTTCCCCTACTCTCAGCTCTTCTTGGGGGCACACACTTGCAGTGATTTCTGTGAGCTTCACAACACAGCAGGCTGTCTCACCACCTCCATACTTACCCACTTAATCCCCACTCCAAGTCCTTAGGCTCTTTGTCTTACTATTCTACCTCCTAGACTGAAATGAGGCAATTTCTTTCTGAACAAATAAAGACTGAGGGTTTTGCAACTCCTGGGAGCACTGTTAAGTCTCAGTAGAAAGCAAGTTTTTCTCAAGACATTCACCTTGTCTATCTTGTCCCTCTTATGTGCCTGAGTCTCTCCAGATCTGGCTGCCTCCACCATCTGTCCTGTTCACCGTTTTGGCCTCAGGGCCTAGCACAGGGTCTGGCACAAGCAGGTGACACCCACAGTAACCACTGGACTGTGACGTTGGGCTTCCCTCCTAGAGCCTGCCTCTCCCTCCTCCGGCAGGCCTCTTCCTCATTCTCCAGGCCCAGGCTCCCCATTACTTCCTCTGGGAAGTCTTCCTTGAATTCCTTGGGTCTATTTAAGTGTTCCCTTCCAGGTCAGCTCCCAGATCACCTATTTTGGTGCTAAGTGTGTAGCACAGATTGCCCAGCTAGAATAGAAAGTCTTAGAGAGCAGAGACTGCTTCTTTGTCACTTCTCTAACCCTGTGCCTACCACAGATCAGGGCACAGGGCACATGATCTGGACCACAGGAATTCCATATTTACCTTTACAACGTAGGCAAGCCCCTCATGAAAGAGAGGCTTTGCTGGAGTTATGCAGGGAAATGAGGCCCACAGCCTAGGATGCTGTGAGGAGGGGCTGGAGTCACCTGGCTCAAGGGTGCTGCATGTCCTAAATAGCTGACTCTTCCATTTCCGGTTAGTAGTAAAATACTCTGGCCTTGGAGCCAGAAAGGGAAAGAAGCTTATCAAAAAGCTTTATCCAAAAGAATATTAATATTCACAGGTAAATCATTAGCTTTCAACCAGGGTCAAAAAATCGAATGCTTTCACCTGTGTTCCTTCAGCCTCAGGCCTGACCATGGGCTGAAGCAGGAGGGGTGCTCCCCGCCACTGAGTATCCAGTTGCCCAGAAAATGGCATAGCTCCATAAAACACTGAGGATCCCCCACATCGGGATCCTTCAATTGGAACCCTAACACCTGTGTGGCTTTGAGGATGAGGTGATTAAAGGAAGCAGGGCAACTTTCATTTCCAGGGCTGGTTTCTCTCAGGCACACCTTGTTCCTCAGGCCTGTACTCAGCTTTGTTCCTTTTGTTCCTTTTAATTCAATTAAAACAGCATTTACTGAGCCCTTCACAGGGACAAGAAATTGTGAGATAGTGTGGGAAATTTAAAGTTGAAAAAGAATGACTCTAAAGGAAAACCAGCAAGATTAAAACGTAATAGGAACCTCGAGATAAAATCCTTGTCATGCTGTATAGAGAAAATTGAATTCCAAGAACACATTGTACACCTCCGAGGAGAAAGAGGCTGTGCTACATTTGGAGTCCAGAGATGAAGGCACCTTCAGCTTTTTAAGACCTTGCTCTCCAGAAGAAAGTGTTAATACCTTCCCCAGAGCACGCCCTGGGCACAAAGTAGGAGGATTATGCAGTCCTGCCCTCACCACCCATCACCAGTCCCAAAGGTGGTGGAACCTGTCCCAGGGGGCATGCCCATTATCTGTCAGTAACATCTCTCCCGGCCAGAGGTGGCCCTACCCAGCTGGATTTCCTGAGTCGGAGATTTTCTTGCCCTGCTCCCTTCCAGGAGAACAGAGCGATCCAGCCTTTCCATCCAGGCTCTGGTCTGTCTAGGTGGAGGGCACTGGGAGATCCTAGGATGAATGGAGCCGGCCTACCTGGATGGCGGTGTTGGGGATGGGTGGGGATAGAGGGGCGGGTACGCCAGGAGGGAAGGGGCTGGAGGACACCCGGCTCAGGGGGCTCAGGTTCTTGGCACAGCGCGCTGCCCTGTGCCCGGGATGCAGGCGAACGGCCGGTGCCCCACCCTCGGCCTGACCACCCACCTGGGCACGCCCTGTCGTAGTCGAAGCAGCAGTCCCCGGTGAGGCGACAGGCTTGGTCGCAGAAGCACGTCCCGTAGACCCTGTCCAGCCTCCAGCCGCGGGCGAAGCAGGCGGGGTCCCGGCCAGGGCAGCAGCGCCCGGCCTCAGCGCAGCCGGCCTGGGCCCCGGGCCACAGCCGCGCCAGCGCGCACAGCGCCATCCACAGCGTCCTCATGGCCAAGGCTCTGGCGGCGCCGCGACGCGACAGTCACCCGGGGCAAGCGCTCTGCTCCTCCGCTGGCCACGGCCCGGGATCTGCGTGAGCGGCCGGCGAGGCACAGCCCAGCCCTGCTCTGCGCCCGGCCCCCGCCCTCCATGCTGCCCCTCCCCAGCCCTGGCAGCGCGCCCAACGGAGCGCGGGCGGATGGCGGGGCTGCCCCTGCCCAGGTGGGGAGGGCGCCGCAGTTCCCGGGACGCGCCCGAAATCGAGGCTCCCGGCGCCACCCGCGCCCCAGCCCCAGCCCGGGGACCTCCGGGGCGCGAGGAGCGGAAAAGCAGGGGCTGGGGGGCGGGGGGAGGCGGTGCCGGGGCACAGCCAGGAGCAGGGGCCTGGGAGGCCACGTTTCCTGACTCTAAACTGTACTTCCTAACGCCTGGGGACACGTTAGCGAGCGGGCATTTTCACTCTAAAGCCATGAGACCAAGAGCTCTCGAAGGCCACCAAACGGGTCTCAACAGCACTCTGCGCGGGCCACCCCGCCTTTGCCCAGGAAAACCCATTCAAATACGGAGTGGACACCAGCTCGCCCACCCTCTCGGTCCCCGCGGGCCGCAGAGAAGAGGAGATAAGTCCAAAGAAGCATCCTTTCTTGCTGCTGCATTTTATAATGGGACTTCTCTGCCCTAGGAAAATGCCTCTTCGAGAAGCGAAGAGGCAGTTCATGAAGGGTGGGAAGAATAAATAAAATAATGGTGCTCTGTTTTCTGGTAAAGCCAATTTCTACCCCTAAAAACTCTGTGTACTGTTATTTTAGAACTTTCACTTTAATAAAGTGCTTGCCTAACTTTGAATGTATATGTTATGCATATGTATGTTTGCAGTAATACATTTCTCCAAGTGTATTACTGCACATGTGCACATGTGTTACTGCAAATGTTTTTTGCAACTCTTTTTGTTCACCAAATTTATTCTAGAACGTTCATTTTATGTTCTTAAATCATTAATCTAATATGGTTTTTGTATGAAACCAGAAATGTAACGTTTTGCATCTGTGAACCTAAGAAACCAAATTAATTTCATAGACTTTCTTCCTTTCTCATATAAGGACTTATAGAGGAATTTTCTTTACTCACTAGAGAGGAAAGTTAACAAAAGTGGAAACGAAAAGTCTTGACTGCAGAAGTAGTGAAAGACACAGTAATCAACCATAAAAAACACATTGTGGAATGAAAAAGATTTAATACATTATAAGAATTGTATCTTATAAACTCTAACCACAGACAAACTTTAACCAATATAGACTTATAATATTTCATCTTCCAAGGAAAACCTACTCTAAAGTCAAAAAGAATTTTTTTCTTTGTGAGCTTATACAAATACATTCTCAACATTGGGATTTTTTTTTTTCCTTTTTAGGTAAGTCTCTCTTACTTTTGTAGTCTAAAGAAATAATATATACTATATATATATGGTTTTTTTGTGTATATATATATATATATATATATATATATGTATATGAGAGTATGGGTATGTATCTTTCGTTTTTGTATCTGGAACTAAATAACTTAGCCAGTAAATTATAACCTCTGCCTTTTCCCATGTTATAGGTTTTATTAGCAGTTTTGTATTAACTCATTGATGTAATTTATACCTACTCCTTCTCTACGGATGTCTGCTTTGTAGAATGCCTTTAGGCAGATACTTATTTTGTAATGCCATAAGAATCTGGAACAATTCCAGAAAGATGTAAAGGAAAATGATCCGCTGACAAGATCACTTTCAGGAATAAAACATGAAGTGATAACAGAAAGAAGAAAATGAGTTCTTTTTTAAGAGAATTAAAAGCATAAGACCAAATGCCTGCTCAAATACCCTTTTTTACAGCTCCCTCCCGACCCCTACGAGCCCTTTTCCTTACAGACAAAACAAAAATTGAAAATCAAAAACAAAAAGTTAGGGGATCTGTGCTCATGCAATTTAGCTTCCAGAATTACACAATTTGGATCTAGTTCTGATTCTATGATTTCTGACAAATCTCAGTCCTCCCATCTCAAACAGAGAATATGAAACCTTCTCAGATTATTGTGAGATGCCCATAGATTATTGTGCTCTCAGATTATTGTGAGATGCAATGTTAATAGGAACTAAATATCTATTAATGTCTTAATGTTCACCCTACTCCCGCTCCATAATTTAAGCCTAAACCAAGTAAAGACAAGCGCAGTTTTTGTTGTGTATAAAATAGGGGAAAGCAAAAAGGTCTTATTGCTTTGTTTTTTTTTTTTATTTTTTTATTTTTATTTTTTGGTTTTATTGCTTAAAAAAAAAAGAGGAAGAAAAACAAAAATTTAACAGCAAAAATAAAAAGGACCTTGTCTCTCGTAACATTAAAACAAACAACCTCAAGTTAAAGCTTGCACTGTCTTGAAAATATCAAGATAAGCCTCCCATAACAGGCACTAGCAAAGGAAGCAGTTCCTGCAGGAATGGGCAAAGTCAGAGGACCCTGACATTTAAAGCAATGGAGTTGACATCCTTACTGGAAACTGAATGCAGTCAACTGTAACAATTAGTGGCTTTGTTTTCCTTGCCCTGGAGATGTTGGGAGAGCAGAAATCATCCCAGTAATCAGGTGGATGACTATAGAAAGTAATAAAGACACTCTTTATTCTGAAGTGTTGTCTTTGGAATCTGTCCAGGATTGGTAAAATTACAGGGAGAAAGGGAGACATACCTATTCATCATTCTAGAACACAGTAATCTTTATTTATTTGTCTATTTGTTTATTTGAGACAGAGTCTTTCTGTCACCCAGGCTGGAGTGCACTGGCACAATCATAGCTCACTGCAGCATCAAACTCCTGGACTCAAACGATCCTCTCACCTCAGCCACCCAAGCAGCTAGAACTATAGGCACATGCTGCCGCACCCATCTAATTATTTTTTGGAGACATTGAGTCTTGCTATGTTGCCCAGACTGGTCTCAAACTCTTCGTCTTAAGCAATCCACCTGCCTTGGCCTCCCAAAGCACTGAAATTACAGGTGTCAGCCATCACCCCTGGCCAGAATACAGTGATTTTAAATACCATGCACATGCATGATCGAATTTGATGCTGCATAATTGTGAGGAAAATATTAGCATCCTCATCTTGCAGATGACAGAGAGATTAGACAAGTGACTAATTAGCAACAAAACAGGACTAGAACTGAAACTATTCTTTCCAAAACACTGCAATGTTCTTCCCCTTATATAAAGCTTTTTATAAGGAGTGGTAAAAGATTGTAATAGAAATTAAAGATAAATAAGATTAAGTACTGTACTAAATTCCATAACTATAATGGTGTATGTGGAAATCAAAATACAAGTACTTTCCAGAAAGTTTGAGTACATTTAAAATGTAAGTTTTACTTTTCTTTCTTTTCTTTCTGTTTTGTTTTTTTTTTTGTTTTTTTTTTTGGAGACACTCTCACTCTGTCACCCAGGCTGGAGTGCAGTGGCAGGACCTCAGCTCACTGCATCTTCCACCACCTCGGGGTCAAATAATTCTTGTGCTTCAGTCTTCTGAGTAGCTGGGATTACAGGTGCCCACCACCACACTCAGCTAATTTTTGTACTTTTAGTAGAGATGGGATTTCACTATGTTGGCCAGGCTGGCCTCTAACTCCTGACCTCAAGTGAGCCACCTGTGTTGGCCTCTCAATGTGCTGGGATTACGTACAGGCGTGAGCCACCACGCCTAGCCTATATTTTACATTTTTATCTGTGTTAGATGAATAAGAAGTTCTAAAAGGCAACCAGGATGCTATGAGGGCTGTTGAGGGAATATTTTGAGGTTGACAAACAAGGCAGTTGATTCTTACACAGCTTGGGGACATTTGTCAGAGGCAGAATACTGCATGGATAGAGTGAGAAAGAGAGAATATTTCATTGGATATTAGCCACTTTTGCTTATAAGATGCACCAGTATTTTATTTGACACTAACACACACACAAAAAAATCCAATCCTGCCTGCCAATTACACTGTGATGTATCCTTATATGTAAATTGTAGGATGGATTTCAACTTCAGAGATGTTTAAATTGGAAGGATGTGCATCCCTGAGCCAATGAAAAATGAAAAGAGTAATATTTTCACCATCTTGCATTTTATAACATGCTCTTTGGGCAATCCTAGGGAGCTGATGTTAACTTGGCTGTTTTGCTGAAGGGGAGGTTAAAAGGAACTACATGACCTGGACAGTGTCCCACAGGCTCAAGCCCGGCCCTCTCTGCGAGCTAGCACTGTTCATTTGGTTGCCTTTCCTCTCTTCCTGAGGGTGTGATGTCACTCCACACTGAGGGTCAAAGATGGGTAAAAATGGTTCTTCCCTAAGGAGACCAAAATCCAGTGGAGGAGCTAGACATGTCAATAGTCACTGCAGCAGGTGGTGATAAGTGTTACTATCAAAGGGAAGAGGAAAGGATGTCTGAGATACTGACACTGGAGCTTCACAGTGGAGAAGGATTTTGAATTTGGGTTATAAAGATCAGGATTGGGTAACTATTCGTCTCTTTACACTCTCCCTGGAAAATGCAGATTCAACCACCAGGAAAACTCCGATAACTTTTGGAAAGGTACTGCCTGTATAGGCTAGTACGCATTTATTTAATAATGCCAAAATGTTTAGACAAGTATCAAAAGATGCCTGTTCAAGGTGGCATGCATAACACTTTTGAGTAATTCTTCTCCTATCACCTTATAGAAAGCAGTCAAGTATATCACCACTAAGGTTTATGCTGCCATTTCTATGCCCTTGACCCCATCAATGAAAAAAATGCAAACTGGATATGGAAGTGGTAAAATAAATTCATTGGTTGCCTATAGAACATCAATTTTTTCCTTCTTTTTCTAACAGATGTTTTAGATTTTCCTTTCCAGAGGAAGCACCTCTTCCCTCCATTATTAGACAGCACCCCTAGTTCTAGGGATGAGCTTTGAGAATTAATCTTATCCTCAGTCTATGAACCCATCACTCAGGGCCTGGTCTAATCAGAGCCCCAGAGATCAGGGACATTTGTTCAATAGATGACTTAGTTTCACCTCTTCGCATACTAGGGGAGAATAGGGATGCATTTGGCTATGTGAAGCCAGTCTGAGATCTTAGGCAAAAAGCCAGGGAGGACAGAGCCAGGAAATCACAGGGCATTTGGGGTTGACATTAGATGTCGAACTTCCCCC